GTTGCTCCACCTCCTTGCCAACATTTGGTGCTGTCAGTGTTCTGAATTTTGGCTATTCTGGTAGGTGTATAGTGATATCTCATTGTTTTTTTTTTTTTTTTTAAATTTATTTATTTATTTATTTATTTTTTTTATCACAACCATAGTGTATCTTTTTTTTTTTTTTTACATGTATTCCCCATCCCGGTCCCCCCTCCCACCTCCCTCTCCACCCAATCCCTCTGGGTCTTCCCAGTGCACCAGGCCCGAGCACTTGTCTCATGCACCCAACCTGGGCTGGTGAACTGTTTCACCCTAGATAATATACGTGTTTCAATGCTGTTCTCTTGAAACATCCCACCCTCGCCTTCTCCCAGAGTCCACAAGTCTGTTCTATACATAGGAGTCTCTTTTTCTGTTTTGCACATAGAGTTATCGTTACCATCTTTCTAAATTCCATATATATGTGTTAGTATACTGTAATGGTCTTTATCTTTCTGGCTTACTTCACTCTGTATAATGGGCTCCAGTTTCATCCATCTCATTAGAACTGATTCAAATGAATTCTTTTTAATGGCTGAGTAATATTCCATGGTGTATATGTACCACAGCTTCCTCATCCATTCATCTGCTGATGGGCATCTAGGTTGCTTCCATGTCCTGGCTATTATAAACAGTGCTGCGATGAACATTGGGGTACACGTGTCTCTTTCAGATCTGGTTTCCTCGGTGTGTATGCCCAGAAGTGGGATTGCTGGGTCATATGGCAGTTCTATTTCCAGCTTTTTAAGAAATCTCCACACTGTTTTCCATAGTGGCTGTACTAATTTGCATTCCCACCAACAGTGTAAGAGGGTTCCCTTTTCTCCACACCCTCTCCAGCATTTATTGCTTGTAGATTTTTGGATAGCAGCCATCCTGACTGGTGTGTAATGGTACCTCATTGTGGTTTTGATTTGCATTTCTCTGATAATGAGTGATGTTGAGCATCTTTTCATGTGTTTGTTAGCCATCTGTATGTCTTCCTTGGAGAAATGTCTGTTCAGTTCTTTGGCCCATTTTTTGATTGGGTCATTTATTTTTCTGGAGTTGAGCTGGAGGAGTTGCTTGTATATTTTTGAGATTAATCCTTTGTCTGTTGCTTCGTTTGCTATTATTTTCTCCCAATCTGAGGGCAGTCTTTTCACCTTGCTTATAGTTTCCTTTGTTGTGCAAAAGCTTTTAAGTTTCATTAGGTCCCATTTGTTTATTTTTGCTTTTATTTCTAAAATTCTGGGATGTGGGTCATAGAGGATCCTGCTGTGATTTATGTCGGAGAGTGTTTTGCCTATGTTCTCCTCTAGGAGTTTTATAGTTTCTGGTCTTACATTTAGATCTTTAATCCATCTTGAGTTTATTTTTGTGTATGGTGTTAGAAAGTGTTCTAGTTTCATTCTTTTACAGGTGGTTGACCAGTTTTCCCAGCACCACTTGTTAAAGAGGTTGTCTTTTTTCCATTGTATATCCTTGCCTCCTTTGTCAAAGATAAGGTGACCATAGGTTCGTGGATTTATCTCTGGGCTTTCTATTCTGTTCCATTGATCTATATTTCTGTCTTTGTGCCAGTACCATACTGTCTTGATGACTGTGGCTTTGTAGTATAGTCTGAAGTCAGGCAGATTGATTCCTCCAGTTCCATTCTTCTTTCTCAGGATTACTTTGGCTATTCGAGGTTTTTTGTATTTCCATACAAATTGTGAAATTATTCGTTCTAGTTCTGTGAAAAATATCGTTGGTAGTTTAATAGGGATTGCATTGAATCTGTAGATCGCTTTGGGTAGTATAGCCATTTTGACAATATTGATTCTTCCAATCCATGAACACGGTATATTTCTCCATCTGTTTGTGTCCTCTTTGATTTCTTTCATCAGTGTTTTGTAGTTTTCTATGTATAGGTCTTTTGTTTCTTTAGGTAGATATACTCCTAAGTATTTTATTCTTTTTGTTGCAATGGTGAATGGTATTGTTTCCTTAATTTCTCTTTCTGTTTTCTCATTGTTAGTGTATAGGAATGCAAGAGATTTCTGTGTGTTAATTTTATATCCTGCAACTTTACTGTATTCGTTGATTAGCTCTAGTAATTTTCTGGTAGAGTCTTTAGGATTTTCTATGTAGAGGATCATGTCATCTGCAAACAGCGAGAGTTTCACTTCTTCTTTTCCTATCTGGATTCCTTTTACTTCTTTTTCTGCTCTGATTGCTGTGGCCAAAACTTCCAAAACTATGTTGAATAGTAGTGGTGAGAGTGGGCACCCTTGTCTTGTTCCTGATTTCAGGGGAAATGCTTTCAGTTTTTCACCATTGAGGGTGATGCATATCTCATTGTTTTAATTTGTATTGTCCTATTGATATATGAAGTGGAACACCTTTTCATATACTTATTTGCTATCTGTACATCTTCTTTGGTAAGGTATTTGTTCAAATCTTATGCCCATTTTTTAATCGGGTTGTTCATTTTCTTACTGTTGAGTTTTAAGAGTTCTTTATGTATTTTGGATAACAGTCCTTTATCAGATATGTCCTTTGCAAATATTTACTGTCTTTGGCTTATCTTTTCATTATCTATCTTTCACAGAGAGGGTTTTAATTTTAATGAAGTCTGGCTTATTAATTCTCATTTTTCACAAGACTGTGCCTTTGGTATTACATCTAAAAAGTCATTGCCAACTTAAAGTTATCTAGATTTTCTCCTATGTTATCTTCTAGAAGTTTTATAGCTTTGCATTTTGTATTTCGGTCTCTGATCTATTTTGAGTTCTTTTTTTGCGATGAGTATAAGGTCTGTGTGTAATTTCATTTGTTTTCATGTCCAGTTGTTCTCCACCATTTGCTGAAAGGCTGTCTTTGCCACATTGTATTACCTTTGCTCCTTTATCAAAGATCAGTTGACTCTATTTCTGTTGATCTATTTCTGGGCACTCTGTCCTGTTCTATTGATCTGTTTATTCTTCAATCAGTGCCACACTGTCTTGATTATCGTAGCTTTTTAAAATTTTTGCTGCACCATGCAGCATGTGGGATCTCAGTTCCCTGACCAGAAATTGAACCTGCTACCCCTGCATTGGAAGCACAGTCTTTACTGCTGGACCGCCAGGGAAGTCCTGATTACTATAGCTTTACAATCAGTGTTTGAGTCAGGTAGCATCCATCTTCCAATGTTGTTCTCCTTCAATGTTGTGTTGGTTATTCTATGACTTAGATATTTTGGACACTCAGTTTATTGTGGCACCAATCCATTGAATGATTTTTGCCTTCTAGCCATGTTCAGTGGTTCAGTGGATTGAGCCAGGGCTTGGATTTGCATGTGGGAGTGATGTAAAGGCAGTGGGGCAAGTGAGTTGAGTGTATCTGTAAGAGAATGGTTGAAGTGAGGAATGATGGAATCTATAAACTAGATAGGGAAGAAGGGTGAAGGCAATAGTAGTCAAACGGGTGAAAAGTAGAATCAAGAGATTTTGAGGGCAAAGAACAAATGGAAAGAATGAGAGCTGAATGGATGACCTTGTGGTCAGAGAGTGATGTGTGCATTTTGTATTCCAGAGGTGGAGCAGTTGCAAGTATTGATAGGGTTTTGGGGGATGGCCATGAGAATTGGTAGCTGAAATTGGGGTGAAATCTCTGAAGATGAGAAGGTCAATGTGCTAAGAGGCTGGGATGTTAGGCCTCTATATCCTTTATTATGTTACGTGAGAGGTTGGCAGGACTTGAGATGGAGAGGAATCTGTGAGCAGGTTCTTCAGTGAATGAAAAAGGTATGTTTGGGAGATGAGTTACTGACAGTGAAGAGGAGTGGGAGGAGGTATAGATGAATGATATGGAACTCAGAAGAGGAGGAGATCTTATACAAGGATAGAGGAGAGATAATTTCAGAGTCTCACTGGAAAGTGAGGGGGACGTCCACCCCCAGCCCAGCCCTGAGTTGTAAGGGTCTGGGAGAATGTACAACTTCTGCCTGACCAAGTTCTAACACAGTGCTTCTGAGACTTTCTGAGGTGAAGGACCAGGGTATTTTTTTTTAATTTCCAATCTGTAATGGACTGATTCTTTTATGAAATAAAATGTCCCCAATTTATTGATGTGCAACAGATTTACAGGGTTAGCAGTGGGGAAGGTGGTGGCGTCCTGATCCCAGGAAGTCAGTTCATGAGCATGGTCTTGAACCAAAATGGTTGGAGCTCTGCCTTATTTTTATGCTCCCTGTTCTGTGTGGCTGACCAAAGATTTTAAGAGTTAGATCTTAGCCAGAAGATTTTTAGAGGGCTGCTGATGACTTCTTTGGTGAGGAAGGGTTTACATTTTGTGAGATTACTAGCTCACATACATGTAAACTCATATTTTCAAAATTATATCTTTCTCAGATATTATAATATGAAATTAATAATGCATGTTCATTGTAGAAAATTAGGAAATACAGATAAGGAAGAAAAAATGGTTACCATAATCCTTCACTGAAAGGGAACCACTGTTTTCATTCCTTTTCATTTAATAAATTGTTTAATAAAGTTTAAATGTTTGATTTTATGTAGGAATAATATTTTAGATATACTGGTTAAATAAAATATTATTAAATTATTATTAAAATTAATTTCACTTGTTTCTTTTAACCTTTTTAATGGGGCTATTAGAACATTTAAAATTACGTATTTGACTCACATTATATTTCTGTCAGACAGCAGTGCTCTAGAGTCTCTTCCAGCTTTGACCATTCTGAGTCTTAATGAAGCTTTATTGTCTGTACATTTTTAGCTCTGTTGTAATTATTTTAGACTGTTGTGGTGTAATAGAACTTTTTGCGTTGACAAAACAGTCTGATAATCTGCCCAATATGGTAACCACATGTGGCTACTGAGCACTTGAAATGTTCCTTGAGTGATAGAGGAACTGCATTTAAAATTTTACTTAATTATGTATTGAACAGCACAGTTCTAGACCTTATAAAAAATAAAATTTCCGCAAACACTGGCTGATTTTCTCTTTTCTAGTTGTGTTGGTGTTGAAGAGGAGAAGGCTGCTGACATTGACCTCTACCACTGTCCCAACTGTGAGGTCTTACATGGGCCCTCCATTAGTAAGTAGATCTTGGGGTTTTAAAGAGAAGACAATCCAGAGAGACAAAGCAAAGGAAGCTTGGAAGGGAAATTGCCTTTGCCTGAGTGCTTCAGATTTGTCTCCCTTGGGAAACAGAAGCTTACGTAGGCCCTGTAGGCTAGCAGCTGCTCCACTGAAAGGGCAGAAATGCAATTTCACCTCCCTCCATTATTTAGGGATTCCCCAAAGGAAGCACCTATCCTCACCAAGTGCTTTTCTGAGTCCATGAGGGCTTCCTTGACTCCAGATGCTCCCAGGGTATTGTTAAATTGGAAGAGAAGCAGGATCTGCTGAGGCTTTTGCTTTTAGAACCACATCCTGTAGCCATTTTGACTCAGTCTCTTGTCTTTTTCTGGCTTAGTGAAAAAACGCCGTGTATCTTCCAAAGGCCATGATACACACAAGGGGAAACCAGTGAAGACGGGAAGCCCTACATTCATTCGAGAGCTCCGGAGTAGGACCTTTGACAGGTGAGGACCTCCTATTCCAAGGGCCAGTGAACGCTACTGCTCTGGGAAGCTGGGACCCATCTCTTCTCAGCTTTTCCACTGGCTGTCCCACTAGGTGCCTCTATCATTTGGGGATGTCTGCAGGGCTCTGTGAGTTCCCTTTGTGGGGAGATCTTCTGTTTTAGTCAGTTTCTGAGAAACATTGTAACAGTTTCATTTGATGTACAGAGTATGTTAAGGTCTACTTGTAGAAACTTTGAGTAGATAGAGAGGCAGTTTTTGCCTCAGTCAGGAGAGGATATTTACATGTACCCAGGGAATGCTATAACTAGAAAGAGTCTTAGCAACCAGGAAGTTTAATTCTCTCATTGTAGAGAAGCGGAAACTCTCTGGGAAAATACTTTTTTGAGTAGCCATGTATTTCTTTTACAATCAAGAAAAAATTTGTTTCCTTAAAAAGTTAAGATTGGCTTATTGAAAATAAATTACTTGAACAAAAATAATGAGTTAGAAAAATTAATGAATAAAACACTGTCTTTTGCTTAGTTTTTAATTCATTTGACCATTTTCAGCTCTCCTGTAAATGAAATGTTATTTAGGATTATAAGTGTTTCTTCAACTTAATATTTGTTTTATTTAAAGGGAATGAGTCTTGTTTTTACCCTACCCCCTCAGGTCCCTTCTCCAAAGTCAACCAATTTCTTGTGCATTCTTTCAGAAATAGTTTTTGCTTATACAAACATATATGAATGTATGTGTTGCCCCTTTTTTTAAATTAAAAGACACAAATAGAAACACTGTTCTATATCTTGCTTTTTTAAAAATCTAAATTCTTTATCTTAGAGATCAATCCATAACAGCATATACTGATGTTCTTCATTCCTTTTCATGGATAGTTAGTACTCCATTGTATGAATGTATAATTTATTTAAGCAGTCCTCTTGATGAACATTTAAATTGATTCTAGTATTTTGCTATTAGGAAAAAAATGCTGCAGTGAATGTCTTTGTACTTAAGTGTTTGCATATGTGAGTGAATGTATGTGTAGATTTACTACCTAAAAGTAAAACTGCTAGGTCAAGGGGTATGTGCTTTAAACATGTTTGTAGATATTGCTAGGTTGTTTCTAATGTGACCACATCATTTCATACTCCCACTAAACAATGTGTGAGGGTGCCTATTTCCCTATTATCCTGGCTAACACTATTTATTATCAAACTTTTTTTGCCTTTCTGATAAGATAAAAAATGAGATTTCACTGTCTCCATGTGGATTTCTTTAGTGATTAAGGAAGCATGTATATTATGATGCATTTATAAGTCATCTTTATTTTTCTTCTCTGTTACCTATCTGCTTACATTGTTTGACAGTTTTTCTCTTGGGTTACTTCCTATTTCTTACTGATTTGTAATAGCTTTCCATGCAGAAAATTTTTAATTTTAGGTAGTTAAATTTACTTATTACTATTTTTAGTGGCCACTGGGCCTTGTCTTTTTCCATAATTTTTTCTACCCTGTGGCTTTATTTTTTTCTAATTTAATCTTTGTTCCATCTAGAATTAGGTAAAGAATGAGCCAGACATTGATCTTAATATTTTTCCAGATGTTTATCCCAACACAATTTGTCAAATAGCCCATCTTTTTCTCCAACATGGTTTTAAGAAAACCAGAAACCCCTGTTTTCTAGTTAACTAACTATGTATGTCAAGAGAGTGGTTGTAAAAATTGTTTTTGTTTTCTAAATCAGTCTTTTCTCTATTTTCCAATATTTTTAAATGGGGTGGTACTGCTCTGAAAGTGAAAGTCGCTCAGTCATGTCTGACTCTTTGCGACCCTATGGACTATACAGTCTGGAATTCTCCAGGCCAGAATATTGGAGTGGGTACCTGTTCCATTTTCCAGGAGATCTTTCCAACTCAGGGATCAAACCCAGGTCTCCCGCATTGCAGGTGGATTCTTTACTAGCTGAGCCACCAGGGAAGCCAAAGAATACTGGAGTGGGTAGCCTATCCCTTCTCCAGGGAATCTTCCCGACCCAGGAATCAAACCAAGGTCTCCTGCATTGCAGGTGGATTCTTTACCAGCTGAGCTACCAGGGAAGCCCAAGGTGCTGCTCTGGGTTAGTGTAAATCAGCTAAACTTGTCAGATACGTCTTTTCTTCCGGGGCAGGCTATTGACTGATTTGTTCCTTTGTCATCTAGACAAGAGCATCATATTGACAGGATATCCTGGATTTAACTTCCCACCTCTGCCAGTGGCCTGGCTTCTTGCCTTCAGTAGGTCATTTATTAGCTGGGATGTGAAGTTTATGCCACTCATTAATTGCCAGCCCACATTAGGTCCCCTCAGGAAGACCCCACACCTTTGGTGAGTGAAAGCACCCAGTGAGGCCTTCAGTAGCAGAGCTTGTAGGGTTCACGCTTTCTTTTTTGTGGCCCACAGTTCAGATGAAGTGATTCTGAAGCCCACTGGAAGTCAGCTGACCGTGGAATTCCTGGAAGAGAATAGCTTCAGTGTGCCCATCCTGGTCTTGAAGAAGGATGGATTGGGGATGACGTTGCCCTCACCATCATTCACTGTGAGGGATGTGGAACACTATGTTGGTAAGCACCACAGACCCTCTTAACTGTGACATTGTTCACTCCCGACAAAACATATGACCCTTCCCTTCCAGTTTTCATTTCTTTTCTGGCCGTGTTGGAAATCTGAAGTGATGTACCTTGCCCAGAGTCATTCTTAGGCAAAGCTAGAACCAAAATCCTGGTCTTTTTTCCTTTTCCTCCTAATAGACCACAAACTCCAGACTGAGCCCCATGTTTTACCTGGGGAATTCCAAAGATTTTTATGACCTCTCTGTACTCTGTTGAGATGAGAAAGCCTTTTTTTTTTTTAAATTTTTCACCCATCATGTTCTGCCCACTGACTTTATTTTATTTATTTATTTATTTATTTATTTATTTATTTTTCCATTTATTTTTATTAGTTGGAGGCTAATTACTTTACAACATTGCAGTGGTTTTTGTCATATATTGAAATGAATTAGCCATGGATTTACATGTATTCCCCATCCCGATCCCCCCTCCCACCTCCCTCTCCACCCGATCCCTCTGGGTCTTCCCAGTGCACCAGGCCCAAGCACTTGTCTCATGCATCCAACCTGGGCTGGTGATCTGTTTCACCCTAGATAATATACATGTTTTGATGCTGTTCTCTTGAAGCATCCCACCCTCGCCTTCTCCCACAGAGTCCACAAGTCTGTTCTATACATCTGAGTCTCTTTTTCTGTTTTGCATATAGGGTTATCGTTACCATCTTTCTAAATTCCATATATATGTGTTAGTATACTGTAATGGTCTTTATCTTTCTGGCTTACTTACTTTTGCCCTCATATGCTAGTTGTATTCTGGACATGAGTTTTAGGGGAGAGGAAGAGAAGTGAGGAAGCAGGACCCAGGCAGATGGATTGTACTGTGAGACCCTGTGTCAGGCATTTCTGTTGCCCTAGAATGTCTGGACCTGGCACATAGGTCTAAGCAGAATGTGAGGAACACCTACCCCCACTTCCCATATGTGTCTGACTCTTTGCGACCCCATGGACTGTAGTCTGCCAGGCTCCTCCATCCATGGGATTTTCCAGGCAAGAATACTAGAGTAGGTTGCCATTTCCTTCTCCAGGGGATCTTTCTGACCCAGGGATTGAACCCAGGTTTTCTGCATTGCAGGCAGACTCTCTGCCATCTGAACCACCAGGGAATCTTCCACTTTCCATATATGTGTAGACAAATACATTGAGAGAAGTTTTCAGTGTAAGGTCACTCTAGGGACCGGTTAGGGGATGAGTGTTCCCTGGTCCCTGAGGCTACTTGGTGCAGAGCCTATCTCTTTATTCCAGGTTCTGACAAAGAGATTGATGTGATTGATGTGGCCCGCCAGGCTGACTGCAAGATGAAGCTTGGTGATTTTGTGAAATATTATTATAGCGGGAAGAGGGAGAAAGTCCTCAATGTTATTAGTTTGGAATTCTCTGATACCAGGTAAGAGGGGCAGGGGTAAGTAAAAAGCCTCACAGAGTACCTAGGACTTGTATATACTGAGTATGTATTAGTGTTCCTCTCCCTTCCTCCGGGTGGTTTCTTCCTTTGGCATGGCGAGCTGGTTTATACTTTCTAGGGTAGTTGCTCACATTATAACAACCAAATCATGTTTCCCCTTTACAGTTTCTAGCATTGGATAGATTATTCAGTGGCTGTTTTAATTAATTTTTGTCTCTTTCAAGATCCAGGACAGCCTCCTTAGACCTTTTTTTTCCGGTATGTAGATTGTGGCATGGTCACTGTTTAACTCCCAGGATAGCTCCACTGTCCCAGGTAAACACTTCTTTACCTGGAACTGAGCTTTGACAGGTTTCTCTACTTAATCTTCATAAAGAAGACACTATGACATAGGGACAGTACAATACTGTTAAACACCATGTGCCAAGTGAGTGGGCCTAGGTGTGGAGATTCTGAGCATTCAGTGGAGGAAATGATCACCTTTGACTGGGGATGGCTATGGAGCTGGAACTTGGAACTTCCAAAGCTGAGTGGAAAGAGAATGCTGACTTGTCTTACAAAAATAAGTGTACTATGTGCTCTTGGGGATTCTGTGGAGAGAACTTCTTTGTCTTCCCTGATTCTCACTAGGATGGGGGGCATTTTATACTGGCTTCAACTGTCAATTCCCAATCAGCTGACATCTGCTCTCCACCCCTTCCTTGATAGGCTTTCTAACCTTGTAGAGACACCCAAGATTGTTCGGAAGCTCTCATGGGTGGAGAACTTGTGGCCAGAGGAGTGTATCTTTGAGAGGCCCAATGTGCAGAAGTACTGCCTCATGAGCGTGCGGGATAGCTATACAGACTTTCACATTGACTTTGGTGGCACCTCGGTGTGGTACCATGTCCTCAAGGTAAGAATGGGTATGGTTTCTGAAGACAGCCAGGCCTTGGGCCTCCCTGTTTGTTTCAAGTGGTTGCATAAAACAGGCTGCTAAGGCCTACCTGCATCCCAGATTCTATTTGGGTAACATTTACACATAACTACTCTTATCAGGGTTGGGTATTGAGTGGATATGCAGTATACGTTGTCTCTGCTTCATAGTTTTGATGATTAACTTTTAAAAAAAATAACAAGAGATTTCTAAGGTTTTCTCTGTTATCTTAATTGAACCAATCTGTACTCCTACCTCTAGGTATGGAAATGTCCATATTTACTACAGAAATTTCTGGTAACATGAGACACTCCCCCTCCTCCCAAATTTATTGAATTATAATTTTTGTACTATGACATTCATCGATTTTAAGTTTATAGTTTCATGAGTTTTGACAATTGTATAAATAGTTGCATGACTGCCACCACTGAAGATAGAGCATGTATGAGGTGTTTGGTTTTTTTTTAAGTTTTATTTATTTATTTTTGGCTGCATTGCATCTTCATTGTTGCACATAGGCTTTCTCTAGTTGCAGCAAGTGCGGGCTACTCTCTAGTTGTGGTGCATGGGCTTCTCATTGCAGTAGCTTCTCTTGTTGCAGAACATGGGCTGTAGGGCACATGGGCTTCAGTAGTTGTGTCATATAGGCTCAGTAGTTGTGGCTTGCAGGCTCTAGAATGCAGTTCAGTAGTTGTGGCACATAGGCTTAGCTGCCCCAAGACATATGGAATCTTCCCGAATCAGGAATCAAACCTGTGTCCCCTGCATTGGTAGGTAGATTCTTAACCACTGGACCATCAGGGAAGTCTGAGATGGTTTTTTTAAATGTCAGCCTTCCTATAGTTTCCCTTTTTGTGGTTGTTACAGTTTTGTAATTAGCATATTGATTGTCAGTGACTAAAGGATTTTTGAGGTCTGGTAAACAAATTTCTTAAATAACTTATTGTTTTCTACCACTGTTCATGCTATTTAGTTTTTTTATCAAAAATGCCAAGAAAAGAGCAAAAACTTGGCTATGGCTCTTGTCCAGATGATCACAAATCCTGAACTAGTTGTTTATCATGAAGAAATTGGAGTGTGTAAATGAAAGTGCTATTATGCAAATGTTATATTTAACTGTTTATTTTATTTTTTTACTTTTTATTTTGGAGTATAGCCCATTAACAATGTTGTGATAGTTTCAGGTGGACAGCAAATGGACTCAGCCATACATAAACATGTATCCATTCTCCCCCAAACTCCCCTCCGATTGAGGCTGCCATATAACATTGAGCAGAATTCCCTGTGCTATACACTAGGACCTTGTTGGTTATCCATTTTAAATATAGCTGGAGATCCCAAACTCCCTATCTCTTCCCCCATTAGCATTTTAATTTTTAAATAGATTTTACAGAAAAATTGCTAATAGGAATATTACCTGTGTGCCCTTCACTCAAATTCCTATGTTACTATTTTATTATATTCTCTTTCTCTGAAGCAAACATAATAAAATAATCTTACATATATATTTTTTCTGAAACACTCGAAAGTATTTGCAGACATGATGTCCCTTTATCTTGTAATAATTCAGTGTGTATTTCTTAAAAACAAGGGTATTCTCTTATATCATCACAATATAGTTATCAAAATCAAAATTAATATTGATAATAGTACTATTATCTAATCTACAGATCTGATTCAAATTTCTCCAGTTGTACAGTAGATATTTTCTAGTGTTGCTTTTCTACACTGAAATGTATTGTCATGAAATATTGGTTAAACTAATCAAGCTATGGGTTGGGAAGATTTTTGTGCTAGTGGGTTTTTCTTTCTTTTCTGCCAAACTGCCTATGTGGTGATTATCCAGGCAAAGCATAATTAAGAAATAAAATGTTCTTCCAACAGATAATCACCCAACATATAATCTTCCAGAAGTCCTTGGGTGATTACTGAACTTTTAAACTTTTATTAGCTGTGATTGCAGGTGTGAGAAGAAACACTCTCTGCAAATGGCGTTTAAAGGCAAATTCAATTTTCTTCTCATTAGTAATGTGGCCTTAAATTCTCCTGGGGCTGATAGTATTGATCTGCTCATCTGTAGAGGACATTTTTCATTTGGTATTCCTGGAGCCTTTGGTGTACATTTGTCTTAAGTTGACAATTTTGTTTGAAATGCCCTTTCCAGATTGTTTTTGTTAGTCTTATAGAAGCTTAAAAGTACAAAGTGAAAAGGAACTTTTGAAGTTTTCCATATTTGTATATAAATGATCCTTGAACAGAAAGAATTCTAGCATACTACATGGTCCTGGAACATGAGAGAATATTCTTTTGGAGACTCCCTTAATAGCTTTGGCCCTTCCATCTTTGTTTCAGGGTGAGAAGATCTTCTACCTGATCCGTCCAACAAATGCCAACCTGACTCTCTTTGAGTGCTGGAGCAGCTCCTCTAACCAGAATGAGATGTTCTTTGGGGACCAGGTGGACAAGTGCTACAAGTGTTCTGTGAAGCAAGGACAGACACTTTTCATTCCTACAGGTCTACCCTGGGCCCCTCTGGGAGGGTTTGAGGAATGTGAGAAGAAGAAGGGAGCTTGTGGCACCAGAACCAACAGCTTCCCATAATGTTTTGACCTGTGAGATACCCCTCTCATATCAGTTATAGGCTCAGAATTGCACATCAGAAAAATTCAAGTGGTGACCAGTGTGCTTGTTTGGGGAGGTCCAGGAGGAAATTGATAGGCTTCTATGCACTGAACTGATGTCAACTTGGTGGACAGAAAACAGGACTCTCAGCCCCATGACTGTAGAGATAGTGACTGGAGAGACTGGCATTGTAAGCTATAAGTCAGAATGACCTGGGTGGGGATAGTTTTAGTTTTTTTTTTTCCTGAAACAATAAATGCCTAGGCTTTACCCCTAGAATTATGAATTCATAGGTCTGAAGTGGGATCTGAGTGTGGCTATTTTGGGGGAAAAAACCTAGCTGTCTCCATTTGGGGAAAGTTGACATCTTTAGTATGTTGCATCTTCCATGAACACAGTGTGTCTCTCCATTTATTTAGATTTTTCTTGACTATCTAATTTCTTAATTCCTTGATTTCAGAATTAGTGTTAAATTTTCTCCAAATGTTCAGTATAATTCTCTACTGCAGCCACACGGACCTAGAGCTTTCCTTTTGGGAAAGATTTTAATTAGCATTCAATTTCCTTAAACTTTATTAGGCTATTCAAATTATTTTATACTGGGTGAGTTGTAACAGTTTGTGCTTTTGGAGCAATTGGCCCATCTTATCTAAGTTGTCAAATTTATATGTGAAGAGTTGTTCATAGTATTTCTTATTATTCTTTTGATATCTTCTAAGTCTCTAGTGTACTCTCTTTTCATTCTTAATGTTAGTAATCTGTGAATTTCATTTTTGTTGAACGTTTAAAAGAATCATCTGTTGTTTCATTGTGATTTTCAGTGTAGTCTGTTTTCAATATCATTGATTTCTGCTTTTATCTTTTTTCCTTCTTTCTGCTTACTTTGCGTTTATTTTGCTCTCCTTTTTTTCAGTCTTGAGATGAAAGCTTAGATTATTGACTTAAGATTTTTTTTCCCTTTTAATAAATTTCCCCCTCAGCACGGAATTTAGCTATGTCACATATTTTGATATGTTGTAGTTTTCATTTTGTTATTTTAAAAGAAATTTATTTATTTATTTGGCTGTGCTGGGTCTTAGTTGTGGCATGTGGGAATCTAGTTCCCTGACTGGGGATCAGCCCAGGCCCCCAGCAATGGGAGCACAGAGTCTTAGCCACTGGACCACCAGGAAAGTCCCCTAAATGTGCCTTTTAAAAAGTTGAGATATAAGGTATGTGCATACCAATAACATATTGTTAAAGGGTACAATTCAGGTTTTCATTAAGTTGTACAAACATCAGCACTAATACCAGAAAGTTTTCACTGCTTTAAAAAAGAAACCTTGTACCTATTAGCAGTCACTCCCCAGTCCTTCTCGCCAGCCCCTATCAGCCACTTTTGTACTTTTCTTTGTGTATGAATTTTCCATTTCTGAATAGTTAATGTAAATGGAATCATGCAGTATGTGGTCTTTTATGTCTGGATTCTGTCATCCAGCATAATATTTTCAAGGTTCATCCATGTTATAGCATTTATCAATACTTCATTCTTTAAATGGCTGATAAGTACTCCATTTGTAAGGATACACCACATTTTGTTTATCCATTCATCATTTTATAGACATCTGGGGTTTTTTTGCCTTTTGCCTATTATGAATAGTGCTGTTATGAACATTCATGTACAAGTTATTGTGCTAACAGTTATTATATTTTCAGTTCTCTTGGGTGTATCTATTTAGGAAAGGGATTGCTGAGTCATATGGCAACTCTGTGTTTAACTTCTTAAGGAATTGCCAAACTATTTTCTAAAGCAGCTGCATTTTACATTTCCACCAGTGATTTATGAGAGTCTCAGTTTTTCCACATCCTTCCCGACACTTGTTGTTGCCTATCTTTATGATTATAACCATTCTGGTGGTGTGAAGTAGTAGCTCACTGAGATTTTTATTTTGTGTTTCTTTAATGGCTATTGATTTTAAATATTTTTCCACGTGCTTATTGGATGTTTATATATCTTTTTTAAAAGAAATATCTAATCAAAACTTTTGCCCATTCTTTAATTAGGTAATTTATCTTTTGTTGTTGAGTTGTAAGAATTCTTAATGCATTTTTTGGGGGAAAAAAGAATTCTTAATGTATTTTGGATTAGACTTTTATTGGATGTATGATTTGCAAATACTTTTGCTTATTCTTGGAATTGTCTTTTCACTTTCTTGCTGTTGGTCTGTGAAGCACAAAAATCCAGTTTATCTATTTTTTTTCTTTGCTTGTGCTTTTGGTATTATATCTAAGATAACCATTGCCTAATTCAGAGTCATGCAGAGTAACACCTGTGTTTTCTTCTTAGTTCTTACATTTATATGCTTAAATTGAATTAAATTCAATTTAATTTTTGTGTATGGTATGAGATATGGGTCCAATTTCATTCCTTTGCATGCAGATGTCCAGATGTCCTGGAACCATTTGAAAAGACCATTCTTTCCCCATTGAATTGTCTTGACACCTTTGTCAAAAATCAATTGACTATAGACAATTGATAGACATATGTTAGACATATAGACATATGTTGGTTTATTTCTGAACTTTGAATTCTATTCCATTGATCTATATGTCTATCTTTATGACAGTATCACACTGTCTCAGTTACTGTACATTTGTAGTAAGTTTTGAAATTGGAAAGTATCAGCCTTCCAACTTTGTTTTTCACCTTTAATTTCCATATAAATTTTTTAGCTTCAGATTTTGTATAGTTTTTTTTAGTGTTGGCTCTAGTTTTATATGTGTGAATATATTTGTGTATACATGTATACACATGCATATGTACATGTATAGATAAATATGTACATGTGTTTACATGTGTAAATATGTCTATATCTATATATGTATATACATACATACATATATGAATCTTACCACAGTCTACTGGTATTGACATTTTACCAGTTTGAGGAAAGGGTTGAAACCTTACCTCTTTTCACATCTCTTTACCCTTTAAATGTATTTGCCTTAAATATTTCCTCTGCATACATTAGATCCATATCACATCATGCTTTAATTTTTGTTTCAACTGTCAAACATAATTTCAATACCCATATAGCAGGAAAGTCTGTTGTTTTTACCTGTATTTTTACTCTTCCATTGTTCTTCCTTCCTGGTGTTCCAGGATTCCTTCTCTTATTTACCCTCTGTTTAGAGTTTCAGGGTAGGTCTGCTGGCAATAGATTCTCTTAGTTTTCCTTCATCTGTAAATGTCTTGATTTCCCTTTCACTCCTGAAAGATATTTTTGCTGGATATAGGATTTTGGGTTGATAGTTATTTTCTTTCAGTACTTTAATGTTGTGCTGCTTCCTTCTAGCTTCTGTATGAAAAGATTTTGACTATCCTTCAAATTATTTTTTCTCCAGTATGTGTTATTTCTTGCTACTTTCAATATTTTTTTATTTAGTTTCTCAGCAATTTGACAATAATGTGTGGATTTCTTTGGGTTTATACTATTATGTGTTCACTGAGCTTCTTGAATGTGTAGGTTTATGTCTTTTGCCATATTAGTGAAGTTTTTAGCTATTATTTCTTCAAATACTTTTTCAGCCCCACACTCTTTAACTTTTCTCCTGGGTCTTTGATGCTATGAATATAACACATTTTGCTGTAATCTCACAGGTTCCTGAGACTTTTTTTCTGTCCCATTGCATGGTTCTTTATTTTTTGGTCTTTTAAAAAATTTTTACTGACATATAGTTGCTTTACAGTGTTTCAGGTGTACAGCAAAATGATTAAATTTTATGTATATATATCTTTTTTAGATTACTTTCCTTTATAGGTTATTATAAGATATTGAATATAGTTCCCTGTGCTATACATATACAGTAGGTTCCTTATTGGGTTCCTGAGTTTATTTTTCACTCAGTCTGTTTCCTTTCTCTTTTTTATGTTGGGTGCTGTTGCCCTGTTTTAAAATTCTGTGATTCTTTTCTTCATTGTCTCCATTCTTCTGTTGAATCCATTGTTTCATTATATATTTCAGATGAAGTATTTTTTTAGTTCTATAATTTCCATTTGTTTATTTATGGCTTCTCTCTCTACTTCTTTTGCTTGTTTCCAGCATGTTTGTAATTGTTCATTGAAGCATTTTTATGATGACTCCTTTAAAATTCATGTCATATAACTCTAACATCTTTGTCTAACATTATATTGTTATTTTTCTGTTACTCAGATCTATTTGTTTATTCTTATCTTGATTTGATTACATTGGTTTTATAGAATGTTTAAGGCAAGTCACACCCCCCACCCCCATACCCATCTGCTTTCCTCTTTATAGTTTTCTATTCCCAGGCATTTATTTACCCATCTTTAAATTCTTTGCTGAGTTTCACATGGTTGGTTTTTTTTTACACTGGACACTTGGCAACTGGTAAATTGAATTTGTCTACCAGAGATTTGAGTTGGATTCATTTGCTTCTTGGTACATATTCCCACAACTGGGGGCAATCTGCTTAGTTCTACAAGCATTTCATGTTTACTTTCTGCCCCAACATTGTGCTAGGTGCTAGAGATTAAAGATATGTATAGGCCATTTCAGTATAATGTTCTAATAGACACAATAGAGGTATTCACCAGAAGTTTGGGGAGCACAGAGAAGAACACTTAGTCTGGCCAGAAGTTTGTGACAGTCTTCTCAGAAGAGTGACACCTGAAGGGTAAGTAGGTACTGATAAAGGAAATAAAGGCATAAAAGACCTCTCAGATTAGGGAAAGGCATAAGCAAAGCAAACATGTGTGAAGCAGTTTATGAATACTAGAGCCTAAAGACCAAAGGCTGGGAGCAGATGAAGCTGAAAAGATTTGCAGGCTGAACTTACTTCAGAGGCAACTGGGGACTATTAAAGATTTATTTGTTTAATTTCTAATGAAATATTTTAGATGAAGCAAAAGATATAAAGAATAATATAGTGAATATTTATGTGTTTATAACTTAACTAAAAATATAATATATTGCAAACATATTTGAAGCCTTCTATATATCTCTCCTCAATTTCCCATTCTGCCCTCTCAGAGCTAGCCCTTGTCCTAAAGTTGATGATATCATTCTCCTGCATTTTTATCCCTTTATTACATAGGTAATGCCTTACTAAGCAACTAAGCAGTGTATAGTATTGTTTTACATGATTTTTTGGGGGGGAGGGGGTGTGGTCTTAACCTCCAATCACTAGGGAAGTCTCTGTTTTACATGTTTTTGTTATATAAATAGAATAATATTACATGTATTTTCTCAACATTTTTCTCTGAACATTATAATTGTGAGATCCTGTTGATACGTGTAGCTATCGCTCATTCATTTTACTTGCTTTCTATTATTCCACTCTACAGCAATTTATCTATTCTCCTGTGGATGTACATTTCATTGAAGAGTTTCAAGCAAGAGATGATATGGGCAGATTTGTATTTTGGATATATCACTTAGGATTGGGATTTGGAAGACAGACTTCAGAGATCAAGATTGTTGTGGATCAGTGGTTTACAAACATTTCAGACTCTGGATCTCTTTATACCCTTAAATATTATTGAGGATCCCAAAGAACTTTTATTTATGTGGTTTATATGTATTCATATTTACCAAATTATAAATTAAAACTTATAATTCCAAAATATTTATTAGTTCATTGAGAAAAAACAAGAATAAACCCATTATATGTTAGCATAAGTAACAATTTTTATGAAAAATAACTATTTTCAAACTAAAAATTTAGTTTAAAGGTTGACCTTTACATTTCTTCAAATATTTTTAGTGTTTGGGTTAATAGAAAACTTAAATAACTATTTTCAAACTAAAAATTTAGTTAAAAGGTTGACCTTTACGTTTCTTCAAATATTTTTAGTGTTTGGGTTAATAGAAAACTTAAGGCCCTCACCCTCAAATCTGCCTCTGTGTGTTATGAAATCATGTCCTATAGCCTTTGAAAAACTCCACTGTATACCTATGAGAGAATGAGAGTTAAAAAGACAAATAACATCTTAGTATTATTATGAATATAGTTTTGACCTTGCATATGCTCTGAAAGAGGCTCTAGGAGCCCCAGGATTCCCTGTATTACCCCTTAAAGAACCACTGGTATTAGAGGAGACAGTTTGGAGGCTGTTGTAAGTAGCATAAGTAAGAAATGATGAGGGATCTGAACCAAACCATTAGTAGGATGGATGGATGAAGAAGAGGAGATGAATATGAGAGAGATTTAAGAAGGAAAATCAGGAGGTCCTAGAAGGCAGTATAGGGTCAAGGGCAAGGAAAATAATTTAGTTTCAGCTAGGTACATTCTTCACAATCAACCTGTGAGTGGATATTTAGCTAGAAAATGGCAGGATTGAACCCAGGTCTAACACAAAAGCTTTTTGTTTTACTTAGGGCAGAGTTCGAAGAGGTAGTCATAGCACGGAGATGATGCCTTTCTTATTGATAAGAGAGAGGATAGGTGAGGCACCGAAGAGATTTTGAAGTACAGAGAGGAGGATGTAAAAGGAGTTTATTAACCCTATAGGTTGGTCCAGTACAGGGCTATAATGATGGCAGACTTGGCCAGGATGGGTGTTGGGAATGTGGAAGAACCTAGAATATTCTGAGTTACTGCCAGACTGGATGCTCTAAGGTATTGTGTTTGAGCTGAGTGGGCAGTGTAGATGTCCAAAGGAAGAAAGGCCCCTTGCCAGCTATGATTTTTGCCTTGTTACACTGCAGGATGGATTCATGCTGTGCTGACCCCTGTGGACTGCCTTGCCTTTGGAGGGAACTTCTTACACAGCCTTAATATTGAAATGCAGCTCAAGTGAGTCCTGAAGCTCTGGTGATCCCAAGTTGGCCATTTCCATCTGCAAGAGTCCTTGAGTTCTCCCCTGTAGTTAGGAGTACAGCATAGAAGGAGGCGAGATGATCATAAAGGAATGGATACTGGTTCCTGTTGATGTTCAGTAGAGGATGAATACCTCTTCCTCACTTAACAAGTTATGTGACTATCAAGTCACATAATCTTTGAGCTCAAATTTCCTAACCCACAAAGTAAAGTCTTAAAGGATAGTTGTGAGGATTAGCGATAATGGATACAAAGCATCCAGAACAATACCTGATACATAGTAGATGCCCAGTAAACAGTATCCTCATCATTGTTATTGTTGTAACTACTTCCTCCAGAGCCTATGAGATTGAGAAGCGGTTGAGCACAGCAGACCTCTTCAAGTTCCCCAACTTTGAGACCATCTGTTGGTATGTGGGGAAGCACATTCTGGATATCTTTCGAGGTATGGAGCCCTTTGCCAACTGCCCTTTTTGCCCTGTTCTCATAACCAACACCTCAATCAAGATACAGTACTTTTCCATCACCACAAAAATCTCTGTAGTGCTACCCCTTTATAATCTCACCCACTCTTTCCCCTTGAACTATCCATAACTTCAGGAAACCACTGATCTGTTTTTCATCTCTCTAATTTTGTCATTTCAAGAATGTTATAAAAATGGAACTAAATGTTGTGATCTTTTGAAATTGGCTTTTTTTTTTACTAAGTATAATGTAGGGCAAGGCATGGATTTTAAATATCTTATTTAGTAAAAGGAGCTGAGAAAATTGAATCACAGTAAAATTATTCCTATTCTTAAAATAAGAAACTCAATCTGAATAGTGTCAGAGTTCTCTGGATATCCCTCTCCTGGGGACAAGGCCCAGTCCTACACTGACTTCATTGGTTTGGTCTTGGGTATCAGCCCAAGTAGAAGCCAGCCTACTGGGTTTCTTCTTTCCTGGTTTGCTCTGAAATAGAGTGGCTCCCTTACTCAGACCTGAGATTTCCCAAGTGACTTGGCCAGAAAGAGTTACAAAGAACCTCAGAGGCCAATGAGTATAGTCTCTTATGCAATACTTCAAGCCCTTATTCTGCCACCTAGATAGACTATCATGTAAGTGTTCATTCAGAGACTAGATGACTAACTGCTTATTATCTGTTCTTAACAGCTTAGTTCAGTAGAAAACTCTTTTTTGAGCCTAAATTTGGATGTTTGTTATAATCTCCTCCTGGAGTAACTCAGAACAAGGCATTAATGGCTCTTCAGATCTGTGTAGGTGGCAATCATGGTCCTCTTGAGTGTTCATATTTTGAAACCCAAGAGGCAGAGTAGTGTAGAAGGAAGACAGGTGTCAGATTCTGACAGACGTGGTTTCAGTCTTGGCTTTGTCACTTACCAGGTGTGGCCTTTGTATTCTTTGCCTCTTTGGGCCTTATTTTCTGAACTATAAAATGAAGATGATATCTGGCTTACAGGGTTGGGTATAGGATTCAATGAGATAGTAGATGTCAAGGTACTCATAAAATGAACACCATTATAAGAACTGAGATCTGGAGTTGTGCTCAGAACCTTGAACATTTTCTCTGGTTGCCTGAAAAAAGTAAAAAGTCCTTCACTTCCCTGCATGGTTTCTTTGACACTCTACCTTCCTCTTTCCCCCGGTAGGTTTGCGAGAAAACAGGAGACACCCTGCCTCCTACCTGGTCCATGGTGGTAAAGCCCTGAACTTGGCCTTTAGAGCCTGGACAAAGAAAGAAGTAAATATACTTATTTCTCTATCTACTTTAGAGGTCTACTGTCGGTAGGGACTGGCTTTGGGAAGATCTTCTGGGGAGGTAGAAGATACCAGGGAAGTTTGTGGGCTCCTGGCATTAGAGTGGAGGACAGAAGAGTATTAAGAAAGAAAAACTTCACCTGTAATTTTAACACTCACAGAGGGAATTAACATGTGGATATATTTTGGTTTTTTTGTAATATGCATTTTTAAAGCATGATTGCTATCACCCTGTACATATAATTTTGTATCTGAATTGATTGGTTTATCTTAATTTTTCTGTGTCACCAAGTTCTCCAGAAATATTGATAGTTACGTGATATTCTTTTGTCGGGATGTAACATCCTTACCTAACCACTTGTTTATTGTTGCTTCCTTTTTATTTATTTATTTGGGGGGTAGTTCTAAAAAATCGTGAAGTAAATATCTCTTTGCATTAGTCTTTGTCCTTCATCTCTTGATTGTTTCTTCAGGATAGATTCCTAGAAGAGCAGTTGTTAAATCAAAGTATATGAAAAATGTAAGACTCTTGATGCATGCTGCCAAAATGGCTTTTTAGGAATATACCAATATCCATCTATCCAATTGAATACTAAACAACTATAAAAGAAATTAAGGAAGCTGTCTATGTACTGATTTGGGAAGACCTCTAGAATTTATCATGTAAAGGTGTCTAACTGTGTGTATAGTGTGCTGGCTGCCTTATGTGTAAAGGGGGGGAGGGGACAAGAACTATATTTGTATGTGCTTTTATTTGCCTGAAAACACAATCTGGAGGGATTCAGAAGAAAGTAATAAAAGTGATTACCTGTTGGGGTGGGCTAGAGGGGTTGATGGCAGGGACAAAGTCTTTTCAATATACATCTTTTTATATTGTTTGATTTTTGAGCTATGTGAATGGATTACCTACTCAAAAAGTTGGATTTATTAAAAAAAAACAATTTTAAGCAATGCAAAAAAGGAAATATCAATATATTCTTTTTTTATTATTTTTTTTATTTTTTCCATTTATTTTTATTAGTTGGAGGCTAATTACTTTACATCATTGCAGTGGTTTTTGTCATACATTGAAATGAATTAGCCATGGATTTACATGTATTCTTTTATACTTCTGATATTCGTGTAGATTCCTTCCCCTGCATACAGTAGTATGAGGAGACTCTTCAGCCACTGAAGGCTTAATTTGCTCAATTTCCCCTTTTTCTGTTGACAACCTTCCCCTCAAATATTCTTGGACTTCATGTTTTGGGCCTTCTCTGGCTCCATGGACTCACCTGCACCTGGACTTTAGCCTTCGATTCTGTTTTGCCACATCCCTCAGGTGTGGCTGCCTTGGGTTTCATTTCTGACTGCATCCCACCAGACCCTTCTATGAAGTGAACTTCTGATTGACTCTGTCTCAGGAACACCTTTAAGGGAGGGAGGTGGGTAGGTCCTGAGCACTCATGTCCTGGGCCAGGATGGCCTCAAGGACCAAAGAATGGCCCTAGACAGTGTGACCAGAGGGAGCTGGAAGAGAGGAGGACATAGAACTGAAGAGCCCACACTCATGGAAGAAAACTTTTGTGAAGTGCAAATGACTTCCATGAGAAACACTTGCTCCTTCACCTTTCCAGAGCCCCTGGGCTGGGAGGAGGGAGCTGTCAGGGTTATCCAGTTGGGTCACATGGGTTCTCAGTCCGCATTGCTGCCCAGCCACTGAAATAAATTCCAGATGATTGAAAGAGTTAAACCATGGGAAGCAAGGAAGAAATGCTGAGGAATTTTTATCAGTACTCTCTGGATACAGAATTCATGTCAAAACTGGTAGAAGAAATCACAGAGGAAAAACTTGAGAGGTCTGTCTGCATAAAGATGTAAATAAAATCATTAATGAATTAAAAAAGAGATAACCAACAGGTCCCTCCCTGGGTTGCTGTTGGGCTAGCTGTGGGCCTGTAGCTGCTCAGCACTGAGTTCTGTGCTCACGAGTGAAGAGGCTGGGTTCTTCCTGAGGTTCTTGACTTTCTGAGGGGTATGGTTCAAGCCCACAACTAAGTTCCTCACACCTCTTGACACTGTCCTTTATGTTTTGCAAATATTTCCTCCCAGTCAATGGTTTGCCTTAACAGTGTTTTTTTAATAAGTCTAATTTATCAGTTTTTCTTTTATGATTCATAACTTTTTATGTCCTAAGAAATCTTTGCCTAACCTAAGGTCACAAAGATTTCCTCCTCTCTTTCCTTCTAAAAGGTTTATAGTTTTAGTTATGGCATTTAATTCTATAATCCATTTTGAGTCTGTGTATATCTGATGCAAAATATAGAATGAAGGTCTTTTCTTGCATGTGGATATCTGATCAGTCTAAGTACCATTTGTTAAAGAGACTACCCTTTCTCCATTGAATTGCCTTGGTAACTGTTGAAAATCAGTTGTTTCTTATGTGTGGATCTATTTCTCATGCCTTTTGTTTGACAGGCTCTACCAGACCACGAGGATGAAATCCCAGAGACAGTGCGGACTGTTCAGCTCATTAAAGATCTGGCTAGGGAGATCCGCCTGGTGGAAGTAAGGAGCATGGGAACAGGGAAGGCGTTTGGAAAGGGCTTAAGACTCAAGTGGCAGGTCAGGCTTTTGCAGCTGGCGTGGGAGCTCAGGGGAAGGATTGAGAAGACCCCACCAAGGACCCTATTCATTCATTCAAATAATTATTATGTGCCTCAAGTATGCCACATGTTGGGCTAGGTGCTTAGGACACATAAATAACTACAGTGCCTGCCCACGAAGAACTCACAATCTAGTAGAGTACCCTGGGCAAAGTTAACCTGCCTGAGCCTCAGTTTCCTCATCTCTAAAGTGGCTATAGCTAATAACTACTGAGGGATTGTTAAGAGGGTTGAATAAGGTAATATAGGTTGAGCACAAAGTATAAGACTGGGCAGATCGTGGGTGCTCAATAAATTCTGATGGTGGGTCATGTGGTTGTGGGTGGTGGAGGTCATAGTAGTAGTTGTTGTTATTAATATTTTGACTCAGTCTCTGCATTCTACAAAATGACAGTTCTCCTGGGTTGAAGATGATTACAAAGCCATGTTTCAACAGGTGGCATATACCACGAGGCAGTGAGGTGTAGTGGTAAGAGACTCAGAGAAACTTGGGTTCTGGTTCCTGCTCTGTCACTTGCTAGCCGTTCAGGGCCTCAGTATCCTTATCTGTAAAGTGGTGACAATACCACCTTTTCAGAGTTTTGTTATAATTATCTAATGTATGTAGAGCCCCTCGCACAGTGCCTGGCAGAGTAAGTACTCAATAAATGTGAGCCATTGTTGTTACTAGACTTTGCAGTGAAGAGAGAACTCAGTGTGGGCTGGTGAAGTAGCAGAGGCACCAGAGGAGAATTGGACTTGAAGTTTCAACTTTCCTTTAGCTCAGAAGCTGTAAGGTTCCATTTAGCACCCAGAATATAGGCACTAAACATGCTAAAGGGTGGTCGGAGTGCGCTACTGGGAAGTTGGACTTCTAGCCTCACCTCTTGCAGCATGTTTCACTGCCTGCACCATTACACCATGGCTTACATTGCCCGCCTCCTACCTCATTTTCTTCCACTTCCATCTGTCAGAATCCATCAGGGTTTAGTTAAAATGCCTGTCTTTTCTCTGGTTATATAAGTTTTGTATACATGGAACTTTGGGCTGGTTGGAAGAGGACTTAGAGGTGGATCATATCTTTTTCACTGAATTTCAAATGTTTTGAAGAAGTGAAATCCTTTTTTTCAAATGAAAGCTTATGTGGAAGCTCAATATATGCAACCAATTGAAGCATAACTACTATGAATAAGTAGCAGTTACGAAGGTGGGAGGCTTAGAACCCCACTTGCTTCTCTTATTTGCCTTCCACCTACCTCCAATCCCCAGGGCTCTTCCCAAGAAGTTCAAAGAAGCCACAGAACATCTTTGAAAACCATCTTTTCCAGTCTGCTCCTTTAAATTTACAGCTGAGCAAACAGATCCCCAGAGTGATCAGAGAACTTACGCTTGGTCACAGAGCTAATGAGTAGCAGATTTAGAACTAGAAGCACTCTTCTCTTAAATCCTGTAGTCCTTAGAGTTGGAACCACACATTTTAGTACTCTATTTTCTGTCTCATGTCAGCTGCTCTTGGAGTCTTTTCTCTCCAATTTTGATAGTAGTGCTGGGCTTTTTCTCTGCTCGTCTTCTTACTCGTCAATGGCTGGGTAAAGAAATGCCACCCAGTAAATTCTTGATGACTTATTGTGCAAAAACTAGGGTGTGCATAAGTGCCTATGTGGAGCATCTTTAAACCCCTTCATGGCAGTACCACCAGTGCCATGAACAGACCTCTGCTCTTAGTGTAGAGAGAACCCTTGAGTAAGCTCTAACCCCTCATGTCCTAACACTCTTGTAGGATATCTTCCAACAGAACGTTGGGAAGACGAGCAATATCTTTGGGCTGCAGAGGATCTTCCCAGCCGGCTCCATTCCCTTAACCAGGCCAGCCCATTCCACTTCAGTATCCATGTCCAGGCTGTCACTGCCCTCCAAAAGTGGTTCAAAGAAGAAAGGCCTGAAGCCCAAGGAATTCTTCAAGAAGGCAGAGCGAAAGGGCAAGGAGAGCTCAGCCTTGGGGCCTGCTGGCCAATTGAGCTATAATCTCATGGATACATACAATCATCAGGCACTGAAGACAGGCTCTTCCCAGAAAGCAAAGGTGGGTGCTGGCCAATGGGTTCAGCCCAACCCTTTTGGGTCCCTTGGAAGAGCAGAGTATCAAAAGTAAAGGCTCTCCTGTCCTCCCACCTCCCTTAGGGCCCCTGGTGTTTGGCTACCAGTCCCACTTACTTAATAGGCATTTATTGAGACCTTGTCTATGCTGGGCACTGTGATAGCTGCTGCAGACAATAACCCTCAAGAGGCCAACAGGCTAGTGAGAAAGATAGGCATAAAAAGAAATGAGTGCAATGAGATGTTGTGGATGCCACAATTAAGTGTGAGTGTGGGACCCTGAGATACAGGGGAGGGGATGATTGTATCTGGGTAGGGATGATGGTTAGGAGCTCTTCTCAGAAAACATGACACTTGAGCTGATCTTGAAATACTAGGATAAGAATGATACTTGAGTACATGGTATATGAGTGGCAGGTTGGAGTCTTGAACAGACTTTTTAGAAAAGTCCTCCTCCAGGGCCCCACCTTGCTTAAAGATTGTGGTAACCTCCATGGTCATGTGAAGATGCTCCACCCTCCTTTTAGGGAACATGTTTTGCAAGATTGATAGGTTTCCCCTGAGCCAGCCATACATTCTCAGCCTTCAGCTCTTGTGACCATTTGGGTTGGGGGTGGGGGGACAGCATAGTTGAAGACCTTGGTTCAGGTGGTTTTGATAGTGAACTCCACCAGTAAAACCAGAGGGAACTGGTTATTCTGATTCACATGGGAGTTCCAGACAGGTGACAACTGAGCCTCCTCCTCCTGCAGTTCAACATCACTGGCACCTGCTTGAATGACTCAGATGATGACTCACCAGACTTGGACCTTGATGGGAATGAGGGCCCGCTGGCCCTATTGATGTCTAATGGCAGGTGAGGTGGGAAGAAGAAGCAGAGATGCTGGGATTTTCGGTAGCAATATGCCATTAAGACAAGGCATGGAATTGGGACCTGGGGCTGGGACATGGGTGAGGGAGGGACTGTACTTTGGGAAATACCCAGATATTATCAGAAAACATTGCTTAGTACAGACCACCATGGTAGTGTTGGGAGTGGGTAAGAGGAGAGGTCTGGAACTAATTGGCAATTCTGAGAAAAATCTTGTATAAGTTCTAGAAATTTCATCAAGTCAGTAGATCAGAACTGTTGGCAGGAATAAAAAATAATATACTGGTTAAGAGCATTAGTTTTTTATATACCTTTTGTGATTCAATTTTTAGGAACTTATTTTGCAGAAATATTTGCCAGGTGTGTAAAGAGAAATATTCAGTGTTCACTATATCATTGTAATAGTAAATAGTTGGAAGCGTTCATTAATAAGGGTTGGATAAATTATGGTACATCTGTGGAATAGAATACTGTGTAACTTAAAAAGAGTGAGTTTAGTATCTATTAATGTGAAAAGATTTCCAAGATACATTTTAAGTGAAAAAATCAGGTTGCAAGATAATATATGGGAATAGTTCATTTTAATTTTTTAAAAGGCATGTATGCATATGTGTGTATGTAAAAAAGTAACGTATAGTCTTTTACATTTGGCTATATTGGTTAAATCTATTTATTTGGCTGTATTGGATGTTAGTTGTAGCACGTGTGCTGTCGAGTTGAGACACACAGGCTCCAGAGCGCATGGGCTCAGTAGTTGTGGTGTGTGGTCTTAGTGGCTTTGTGGCGCGTAGAATCTTAGTTCCTGATCAGGGATTGAATTCCCTGCATTGCAAGGTGTATTGTTAACCACTGGGCAACCAGGATGTCCCTTGCCTTTATTTTTAATTTAACTTTTTAAAAGAGGTTTAAAATTTATGCAGTTTAAAATTCAAAAAGTATGAAAGAATACATAGGAAAAAATTTTGCTCCCACCCTTCTCTGGTGTCCAGTTTTCCTTTGCATACATGGAACACCAGTGTCAGTGCTTTCCTTCCAGAGATGTTTATGCACATTGATATTGATATATCAATATTTGTTACATATTTTACGCTTGTCACACCAAACTTATAACAGTAGTTATCTCTGGCAAGTAGGATAGGGGAGGCAAGAGAGGAAATTTTCACTTCAAGTATTTGAATTTTGTACAGTGAATATATATTAGTTTTCTCAAAATAATTTTTAGCAGACTGTTTTCTAACAGAATAAAAGCACATCTTGACAAAAAGCTTGGGCTTGGGAATCAGACAATTCCGAATTTGAATTCCAGCTCTGACACATATTCCCTATGGCAAGCTAATTAATATATCTGCATCTCTCTGTCTCCATTTTATCTGTTCTATAGATAAAACTTATCTTAGGGTTGTTGGAGGACTAAATGAAGTATTGTATGTAAAGTGCTTATTGCAGGTCCTGGCACATAGTAAATGTTTAATAAATGGTTGATTTTATAAATGTAATAATGAATTTGAAAATGAAAGATGACAGTGGTGGTGATGATGATGATAGTTGTGGGTATGGCCAGAAGCTAACTAGGTTGTCAGAAATCCTCAAACATGTAGGGAGACAGAGGAAGATGGTAAAAGTTATTTTCTGGACACTCAGAACACCAGACAGGAGCAGTCAAGAGCTAAGTATAGAGTATGAACAGTGTAGGAACACAAGGGAAAAGGATACCTTACAGCCTTTTTGTAAGAAACGATTGTTTTCAGATCTCAAGGGTGAGTATAGTAAGTCTACCTGGCTGGGAAATACAGGATAAGTGGTGTGAAGGCAGGGCAGATTCTGAAAGCAACAGAACTATTTTTGTGATTTGAAAATGTAGTTACTGAAGAATAAGATAGACTGAGCATTGTCTTTGTCTAGAACGTATGGTTGGTCTGCTGGGGAAGAGAAAGTTGAAAGTCCCGAGGTTCCAGCCTGTAATGGTTATTAAGGACATGAGACGTTTTCCCTTTCCTCATCAGTCTTCCTTGTGCTGCTTCTAGTACTTCCTTCCACCTACTAGAGGCTGCTGCTAAGTGAACCTAGGGAGTCAAGGTACAGTAATATTTACAGATGATATGATACTTATTATGTCTGATCTTTTCTCCAGAATAGTGCCATGTTTTGTGGGGGCTGAGGTGCAAATGAAACAAGATTGGCTGTATGTTGATAATTACTGAAACTTAACTGGGTCCTAGATACATGGGAGTTTTTAATATTTTGTATATGTTTGACATTTTTCATAATTAGAAGTTAATAAAAGATCAAGGTTGAATAGCTACCATTTATTGAACACCTGCTCTGTGTCAGACTCTATGTTAGCAATCTACATATATTACTTAGTCCTTACAACAACCATTAGGGGTAAGTGTTGTTATCCCTATTTTACTAATACGGGAAAGTGAGACCCAGAGAACTAAAAGATTAGCTACCATTGGGCCACTTGTTATATGTCAGTCTCTACATTAGCTCATTAATCCTCCCAGCAACCCTTTGAGGTAGAAAACAGCTAATTCACTAAAAGCCAATTCACCAAATGACTATTTGTTGAATGTATACTCACTTACCAAAAACTGATTTCTCTTGACTTACAAGGCTTATTTGAGCAGTTTGTACTGGTTAACATTGTTTACCATGTTTGGTAGAATTATTAAGATTTAAGCTACTTTTGAGTTCTTTCTGCTTTATATATTTTAACACTTTTTTTGAGATATAATTTACATATCATACAATTAACCTTTTTTTAAATTTTTATTTTTATTTTTTTAAATTTAATTTTATTTTCCATTTATTTTTATTAGTTGGAGGCTAATTACTTTACAACATTGCAGTGGTTTTTGTCATACATTGAAATGAATTAGCCATGGATTTACATGTATTCCCCATCCCGATCCCCCCTCCCACCTCCCTCTCCACCCGATCCCTCTGGGTCTTCCCAGTGCACCAGGTATGAGCACTTGTCTCATGCATCCAACCTGGGCTGGTGATCTGTTTCACCCTAGATAATATACATGTTTCGATGTTGTTCTCTTGAAACATCCCACCCTCGCCTTCTCCCACAGAGTCCACAAGTCTGTTCTATACATCTGAGTCTCTTTTTCTGTTTTGCATATAGGGTTATCGTTACCATCTTTCTAAATTCCATATATATGTGTTAGTATACTGTAATGGTCTTTATCTTTCTGGCTTACTTCGCTCTGTATAATGGGCTCCAGTTTCATCCACCTCATTAGAACTGATTCAAATGAATTCTTTTTAATGGCTGAGTAATATTCCATGGTGTATATGTACCACAGCTTCCTTATCCATTCGTCTGCTGATGGGCATCTAGGTTGCGTCCATGTCCTGGCTATTATAAACAGTGCTGTGATGAACATTGGGGTGCATGTGTCTCTTTCAGATACAATTAACCTTTTTTAAGTGTATAATTAAATGACTCTTAGTAAACTTAAAGAATATGCAACTGTCACCACAATCCAATTTTGGAACATTTCTATCACATCAAATAGATCACTCATATCCACTTACATTCAGTCCTGGTTTTCTTCCCCAGAGCCAGGCAACCACTAATCTTCTTTCTATCACTATGAATTTGCCTTTTTAGATACTTCATATAAATAGAAGTCATTTAGTTCCTATGTAAATGTAGTCTCTTGTGTCTCGCTTCTTTCACTTAACATGTTTCTAAAGTTCATCCATGATGTAGAATGTATCATTAATCGATTCCTTTTCATTGCTAAATAGTATTTCATTGTGTGAATCTACCACATTTACTTTATCGGTTCTCTAGTTGATGGTCATTTGGATTGGTTATGCTTTTTGACTGTTATGAATAATGGTGCTTTTGAGCATTTGTATGCTAGTTTTTGTGTGGACATGTTTTTGTTTCTCACTTAGGAATAAAATTTAGGGTCATTTGGTAACTCTGTTTAGCTTTTTAAGTAACTACCAAAATTTATCCCAAAGCATCTACCATTTTACACCCTCACCAGCAATTATGAGTTTTTCCATATATTGGCTAATGCTTGTTATTGCCCATCTTTTTTATTATAGTCATTCTGATGGATGTAAAGTGGTATCTTATTAAGGTTTTAATTTGCATTTCCCTAATGACTAATGATATTGAGCATCTTTTGGTGTGATTATTGGACGTTTATGTATCAACTTTAGAGAAATGTCTGTTCAGATCTTTTGCTTACTTTCTAATTCGTTTTGTTTGTCTTTGTTGTGTTCTAAGAGTTATCTAAATATTCTGGATACACATCCTTTTCTAGATAAATAATTTACAAATATTTTCTCCCAGTCTGTGGCTGATCTTTACTTTTTCTTAATGGCATCTTTTGAAGCACAAATGTTTTGAATTTTACCTAATCCCAGGCCACAAGGTATTTTCCTACATTTTCTTCTAGAAGTTTTATAGTTTTAGCTTTTACATTTAGATATATGATCCATTTTTAGTTAATTTTTGTGTGTGATATAAGGTAAGAGTTCACATTCATTTTTTTGCATGTGATATCCACTTATTTCAGCGTCATTTGTTAAAAAGACTATTCTTTCTCCACTGAATTGCCTAAGCACCTTTGTCAGAAATCAGTTGACTATAAATTTAAGGATTTAGGTCTAGATTCACAGTTCTGTTCCATTCATTTTTATCCTTAAGCCAATATCATACTACCTTGATTTCTGTAGCTTTATAGTAAATTTTGAAGTTGAGTAGTATAAGTCCTCCAGCTTTGTTCTTTTTTGAAATTGTTTTGGCCATGTACATATCCTTTGTATGCCCATATACATTTTAGTATCAGTTTATTAATCTGCACAAAACTAGATGGATTAGATAGGATTGCATTGAATCTATAGATCAGTTTGGAGAGAATTGCCTTTGTGTGAGACTGTTTTTATGTTCTCCTTCACTCTCTCTCCAGTACCAAGAGGGTGAAGAGCTTATCCAAGTCTCGGCGAGCGAAGATTGCGAAGAAGGCAGACAAGGCTAGGCTGGTGTCAGAACAGGTGATGGAGGATGAATTGGACTTGGATTCAGATGATGAACTGCAGATTGATGAGAGACTGGGGAAGGAGAAGGCGACCCTGATAATAAGACCAAGTGTGTACTTGTTCTTTTTCTTTCTCGCCCTGCCCATTTCAGTTTGGTTTTGGTCCCTTCAGTAGACTCAAGACCTTAGGCCTGAGCTTGTTGGCTTTCTGATTTACCAGCTCTGTAGGCTTTCTTTGCTCTGGAGATTAATTTATAAACTAATTCGTAACCTCCTTAAATTACTTATCTGTGGTCATTACTTTCAGGAAAATTATAGTTTTATTCTCTTTCTCCTGGGTATTTGGCTCAGATGCTAACCTTAGCTTCATGGTAAGTACATTCTATTGCTTTCTAGAATTTCCCCGAAAGCTGCCTCGTGCGAAGCCTTGCTCTGACCCCAATCGAGTTCGTGAACCAGGAGAAGTTGAGTTTGACATTGAGGTAGGAGCCTTCCCTGTTTCTTATCTTCTGCTTGTTCTGGTTACAAAATCAGAATATGATTTGTCATTTTAGTTGAGGTTGGGGGAGACATCCTATGCATTCAGTTCCTAAAATATTTATAAAGTGAAAGATTGTGTGCTAAGTGCTCCTGAACATATAAATGGAAGATTATATTTTAGTTGAAATATTTTAAAAATCTTTAATATAAAGTAGAATAAAAGGCAGTGTGATGTAGTAGAAAGAGTATCTGATTTGGGATATCTGATTGTGACTTTACATACATATTTAACTTCACTGAACCTTAGTTTCCTTATCTGTAAAATGGGAGTTAGTACTTGCCTCACAAAGATGCTTCAGAGACTAAGATGAAAAAACAAATATTCTGCTTAGTACTTGGTAGATACTTGGTGCTCAGAATATATTAGTGTCTACTGTATATTAGGGCCTGGGCAGCTGAGGTGATATCCTTTTTCTCCAACAGGAGGACTATACAACAGATGAGGACCTTGTAGAAGGGGTCGAAGGCAAGCTTGGAAATGGGAGTGGAGCTGGTGGAATTCTTGATCTGCTCAAGGCCAGCAGGCAGGTGGGGGGACCTGACTATGCTGCCCTCACGTGAGTACTGGCTTTGTTCTCCCCTTTCTAGGTGATCAGACAACACACACCCCTACCTGCCACCTTTGGCTAGGTCAGCCAATCAGTAGATATTAATTGAGTCATTTAAAGGGACAAAGAATTATCTAGGGCATTTGAGCTGAAAGAATAAAGTAGACATGAAATCTGTCCCAAGATATTTAAGATCTGACTTAGAAAGGATGTACAGCCTTCAAGGGCAATGAGTTTGGGGTTCTTTGGAAGTCAGAAGAGGCATGGAAGGAGAGCTGGGCCTTTTCTGGATCTCGTTTTTTTTTTTCTTTTAAAAAAAAAGAAAGAACGCAGCATGTGTGAATAGGAAGGGAGGTGCACCCTTGTTCTTGCCACCTTGCCTGCTGTCTATGGACGGACTTCAGTCAAGAAGGACTGGCCTTTTTATGGAAATAGTCTTTGATACTATTTTGATCTTTAGTTTGGTTTCTAGTTTTTCACTTGGGATGATTCTCTCCTGCTTGTTCCCACCTTGACCCAGGCAGCTCTTGTCCCTCCTCCCTGACTATTCTGATGACTAGTTTTCTCTGACAAGTAGAGATACTCCTTCAGCATTTCTCCTCTGTCCCTTACAGCGAGGCTCCTGCCTCTCCCAGCACTCAGGAGGCTATCCAGGGCATGCTGTGCATGGCCAACCTGCAATCCTCATCATCCTCACCAGCTACCTCCAGCCTGCAGGCCTGGTGGACCGGGGGGCAGGACCGAAGCAGCACGAGCTCCAGCAGTGGGCTGGGCACAGTGTCTAGCAGTCCTGCTTCCCAGCGCATGCCAGGGAAGCGGCCCATCAAGCGGCCAGCCTACTGGAAAACTGAAAGCGAGGAGGAGGAGGAGAACGCCAGTCTTGATGAACAGGACAGCTTGGGAGCATGCTTCAAGGATGCAGAGTATAGTAAGGGCAGCTGAACACTGGCGTCAAGGCCAGGAGGGCTCCCCCTAGCCCCAATCTCAATCCCAAATCCAGTCCAGGACAGTCTGTAGTGAGCAAAGGCCTGGCCATAAGCCTGATAACTCAATTTCTCTGTGCTGTATTTTCTTAATCTGTAAAATGGGAGTATCTCACAAGTTGATGTACAGACTACCTGGCACAGTGTCTTGCTTATGGGAGGCCCTAAAAAAATGATAGCTATTATAGGGACTTCCCTGGTGGTTCAGTGGTTAAGGCTCTGTGCTCCCAATGCAGGGGGCCTGAGTTCAATCCCTGGTCAGGGAGCTAGATCTTGCCTGCCACAATAAAGATCCAGTGCAGCCAAATTTAAATAAATAAATTTTTTAAATAGTAGCTATTATCCATTTTTAGCATTGTCCAGTTGTCACTGCAGGTGACTCTTTTTTCCCTCTTGCCTATTATACTTCTATTTGTTATTGTTTAGTTGCTCAGTCGTGTCTGACTCTTTGCAACCCCATGGACTGTAGCCTGCCAGGCTTCCCTGTCTATGGGATTTCCCAGGCAAGAATACTGGAGTGGGTTGCCATTTCCTTTTCCAGCAGACTTTCCTGATCCAGGGATCGAATCCATATCTCTTACATTGGCAGATGGATTCTTTATCACTGAGCCACAAGGGAAGCCCCTTTACTTCCATTACCTGTATCATTTGTGTTATGTGTTGTTCAGTTCATCTCTTGCAAAGGTACATGATGACTTTTTAGTGGGCTTTTCACATTTAATAGATGACTCCTTTTTAAAACTAAAATGTATTCAGTATGCAGTGTATAAAGCACTTTTTTTTATAGTGCAACTGAGTTGTAGGTTTTCGTTTTAACATTATTTTAAAAAGTAATCCTCGTTGACCAAAATTAGGACAGAGAAAGCAAAAATTCCCTTTGACTAACATTCTTCCCTCTCTGAGGAAGTTATCCAAAGGTAACCTTTATTATCAGTTTGAAGTATACCTTTTAATTTTTTTGTGTTTATGCCCATTTGTAGACATAAATAGAGGTATAGTTTTGTTTTGTGTGTATGTGGTTCTACAACTTGCTTGGATTTCTTTCAACATCAGTACGTAGAGGTCTACTTCATCAATGCATTGAGATCTACCTGCTGCATAGTAGTCTGAAGCATAGGTGTACCATCATATGTTTACCTGTCCCCTACAGGTTAACATTTAGGTTGTTTCTAATTTTTAGTGTTATGAAAATTCTTGTAAATAACCTTTTGTTTTTAGTGCCAGTTAGCATTTCTCTAAGGTAGCTAGACCTGCTGAGTTGAAGGGTATATACAAAATAAATGTTAATGGTGCTGAATTCCCTCCACAAGGGTCAGTATATGAGCAGTGTATGAGAAATACCTGTTTCCCTACAGCCTTACTAACAGTGGATGTTATCAGCTTTTTTAATTTTTAACCAATCTGATGGCAAAAACTGGTGTCACAGTTTGTTTTATAGGTTTATTGACTTCTCCTTATTCCTTTCCTGTGAATTAATTACTGTTATTCACTTATTTTTAGAATGTTAGCTTTTCTTATTGATTTATAAGAATTCTTTATATATTCTCAATTTGTTGGAGTATTTTTTATATATTCTGCAAATGTTGAAAAATATTTTCTTTTAGTCTGTTGCTTGTATTTTAATTTTACTTATGGTATCTTAGTGTGTAGTAGATTTCAGTTTTTACATAGTCGTCTTTATTAACTATTTGTATTTTATGTTTTGGTAAGAAAATTTCTTACATTTTCACCTAAAAAGTATATAGAAGTTAAAATTTTAGTTTTTTTTCTGGAATTAAGTTTTATGAATTGTGAGAGGTAAGAATCTAATTTATTATTTTCCACATGGATAGTCATTTGCCCCAATACCATTTATTGACTAGTTCATCAATTATCCCCTAATTTGAAGCTCTTCTTCTGTCTTAAACTAAATTTCCTTGTATGTGTGGATTTCTTTCTTTTTTTTCCTTAGGGGATGGGGTGCTGAGTGGCTTGTGGAATCTTAGTTCCTTGCAGGGATTGAACCCATACCCTCATCAGTAAAAGCACAGAGTCCTAACCACTGGACTTCAAGGAATTCCCTGAATTTGTTTTTCTGCTCTATTCCTAAATAGCTATATTACTTTGCGCATGCTAATTAACTTCTCTGTTTTAATAGTACTTACCTCTTAGATTGTTGTGAGGAATAAATGAATTATACATAAAGCAATTAGAACATTGCCTAGCACATAATAAGTGCTGTGTGTTAGATATTATTAATAATACTCTGTTCCATAAAACCGATTTGTCCATTCCTGTGGCACTACCTCATAGGTTAGTTACTACAGGCCTTGTGTCTGGTAGGGCAAATCCCCTCTGCAGAACTTGCTTTGGACCTAAGGAGAACAAGGATGTTCAGCAAGTCCATTATTTATTTCTGTGTTGTACTGTGATTGGTCTTAATTTGTTGCCAAGTTTCCCTGGCTACTCAATCTACCTTTAGCAATCACATTGACCTATAGGATTAGGGTTAGGGAAACTAACCTTAATAAGTTAGGGTTGGGGAACTAACCTTAATAAGATTACCTTAAGTAATCCTTGCCCAGTTTGAGCCCATTTGCATTTGCACCCAGTATTGTACTGGGTAATCAGTGGATCCTTTGTAGCCTTAAAACTCTGCCTGGGCTTCTTTTAGAAGTAGGTTCTTGAGGGTATTTGCTCAAGATAGATAGCATCTTCATTAAATTAAAATCTGATCTAGAGCCTAGTCATCAGCAGTCTTTGTTGTTGTTTTCAGACATAGGGAGAAGTGTCTTCACAACTTCTTCATGTGCACTTTCCACCATCCTCCTCGCCCACTGGAGCTTAATTTTGTAGAAAACAAAGCCACCATTTGCCCTTCCTGATAGGAGGCACTATTGCAGGATTTTTAACTTTTACATGTAGATCTTCATATATAGGTTTTCTCTGAAATGTGAGAAAACTTACCACTGATTGGTTAAAAACAACATGCCAGGGAAAATTGCTTTTGAACCAATGCAACTTCTGGATGACATTGCTGTCATTCTGCCATTTACCTTTGAATAGTCACAAAACAGGCCATCTTGTCCTTTTGTCTTCAAACATGGTCTATCTCTATTCAGGCTTTCTTGTATATCTCTTCTTCAGTTTATTACTTTGTATTTTATTTTATAGTTTGATTCCCATTGAAAATGGCACTCTTTTATCTATCATATTTTCCAATTGGCTGTTGCTAGTATGCAGGAAAATAGTTGATTTTTCTATATTGTTCCTGTGTTGCCTTACTATTCCTCTTGTTAGTTCTGTTAGTTTTTCAGGTAATTGTCTTGGGCTCTTGAAGTAGGTGATCTATGTCCTCTATCTTAGTTTGCTAGGGCTGTCATAACAAAATACCACAGACTGGATGGCTTGAAGTGAAGTGAAGTGAAAGTCGCTCAGTCATGTTCAAATCTTTGCAGTCCCATGGACTGTAGCCTGTCAGGCTCCTCTCTCCATGGAATTCTCCAGGCAAGAATACTGGACTGGGTAGCCATTCCCTTCTCCAGGAAATCTTCCCAATCCAGGGATTGAACCCAGGTCTCCCACATTGCAGGTGGGATTCTTTACCATCTGAGCCAACAAGGAAGCCCAAGAATACTGGAGTAGGTAGCCTATCCCTTCACCAGGAGATCTTCCTGACCCAAGAATCAAACCAGGGTCTCCTGCATTACAGGTGGATTCTTTACCAGCTGAGCTACCAGGGAAGCCCACAGAACAATAGAAATTATTCTTTTCACAGTTCTAGAGGCTAGAAGTCCAAGATCAAATTATTAGCAGAGTTGCTTTCTCCTGAGGACTCACCTTGGCTTGCAGATGATCTCCCTCTTGCTACATTTTCACGTGGTCATCCCCTGTGCATACGGGCTCTTGTTGTCCCTCTGTATATCCCAATCTCTTCTTAAAAAGGACCAGTCAGATTGGGTAAGGGCCCACCGTAGTGGCCTCATTTTAATCTAATTATCTCTTTCAAAGCCTTATCTCCAAATACAGTCATACTCGGAAGTACTAGGAGTTAGGAATTCAACATACGAATTTTGGAGGGAGGACACAGTTATCCCATAACACGTCCTTTCTTTCTGGTATTCATACCTCTAGATTTTTCTAGTTTTATTACAGGTGGTGGGGGCATCCTTATGTTGTTTCTGACTTTACAGGTAATGTTGCCAGTGTTTGTCCAATCAATATATAGGGCTCTGTAGGTCTCTGGTAGACTACTGTCATGAAGTTCAGGAGAGTCTCTATCTATAGTTTGAGAGGTTTTTGTTTGTTTTAAAATCTGGAGTGGAATTAGGTTTTATCAGATTTGGGGGGACATCTTTTGATATGAACACACAATTTTTCTCTTAATTTGCTAATAGTGATTTACATTAATAGAATTACTGATTTAGAATTGATACTTCTGTCTTAAAATTAGCTATATTTGGGGCTTCCCAGGTGGCTCTAGTATTAAAGAACCCACTGCCAATGCAAGAGACAAAAGAGACCCAGGTTCAGTCCCTGGGTCAGGAAGATTCCCTGGAGGAGGGCATGGCAACCCACTCTAGTATTCTTGCTTGGAGAATCCCATGGACAGTGGAGCCTGTCGGGCTACAGCCCATAGGATAACAAAGAGTTGGACATGATTGAAGCAACTTCACACACAATTTCTGGTTTTATTTTATTCCTTTTTCTTAATGTACTTTGTACAACATCTTGAGTTGAAAGCTCTGTTCATGTATTTTCAGTCTGTGTTCCCTTTTGATAAAATATTTTTTAAATTTTATTTTTTAAATTAGCATTTAAGTAAAATTGGCTTTGTTGATATACACATGCTTAGATTCTTGTAACCACCATGATCACCACTACTACCACAATGAGTAGAATATAACCCCTCCAAAGTCTCTTATGTTATCCCTTATTAGTCATGCCCTCCCTCTACCCCTAACTC